CGAGTTTCGACGTCCCCAACCCCGTGAGAAAACCTCATGTGTTCACGAGAACAAAAACCCAAGACTATTTGTAACAACACGCCTGAAAGCCAAAAACAAAATCGAAGTCCAGGACCGTTCTGTCTATCTCCCCTGGGCCACCACCTTCTTCGCGCTTGCTCGCCCCCCGGCGAGGCACAGGTAGCCGTCGACGGCGGACTGTTCACGCTCGCGGCCTACTTCCTAGCGACGGGCGTGCTCGCGGCGACTCACGCGAGAAGCAAGCGGTTCGCCGACCACAGGTAAGGGCGCGAAAAACGATCCCGCCGTAAAACGAGGAAACGCCTGCCCAACCAGCCGGCAAATCGTGGGTATGGACGTGCTGTAAGACATCGGACCAAAACCGAGTGAGCCTGAACGGACCGGTGCGTTGGGGCGGGAAATGAGAGTGGTGATCATGCTAGAGATCCAAATTTGAGTTTGCGCTTTGAATTTTGTCCCTCTTAAGGTCAGCGTGTGCTGGTGTGATTGTGACAGCCAATTATTGACAGCTTCATGTTTGCCAATCCTTCGCCCATTTCGATGGGGCCGAATGAGGTCAGAAGTGTTGTCTTTTGTGCGCCGTAGCTTTTCTTGTGGCAATGTTACACTGCAAGCGTTTACACCACCTTGTAGCTGTATCTCAGTCATGCGGGAAGCACGGGGGAAGCCCTTCGCTCGTAGTTCCTTGTGGCGGGTGAATACGTATTTCTTTTCCTCTCCTTTCTGTCCGGCGAGGCAACAGAAAACGGAATTTGGACAATACGACTCTTGAAACACAAAAGGACACACGATCTCGCGTAAATTTCACACAACCCCCCGTCTCCTCCATTGATTGTATCGCTAATAGACGTGCACGGTATGGGTTCTGTGGCGCTGAGCAAGCCCCCCTCTCCCGTACTACGCCACACCGACATATCTTCGTAGATCAACTTAGTGTTCGACGAAGCGATGAGCTAACGCACCCCCCCACCGTCCTCTACCACCAACCTACTTTTGATGACAGGATATGGATCCTACGGCACGTCGCAATGGGCTACGCGGCCCACGTGCAGCGCCTGCTGGCGGCCCTCAGTTGGTGGGCTATCCCTCTCGTCGCTCCCGCCAAGTACACCGAACTTTCTCCCGAGGGCGCCCTGCTACGCGGCGATGTATTCGGTGGTTGTAAGTCGCTGGGTTTTGTTGCCGTTGTCGTCGTTCCACCTTTCTTTCTTTCACTACTGTGCTTGTCTGAGTTGAGTATTGAAAGTGGTCATTGAGAACGGGGTTTGACGTTGCTCCTAGAAAAACAATTGGTGGTGCTGGGTGAGTCTTGTGGCAGCTGAGTTGCCACCTACTGTAGCACGCATTGGATGTGCGCTGCTGTTGCTATTGGCAAGGTTGAATTTGTTATGGTAGTCCCGTTTCGTGTTGTTCGAAGTATTCCGCTTCATGTTGGCATTTGCCTCTCGTCCTTGGGAAAATTCCGGACACTGTCACGTCTATCGCGAGCGTTGGTGTGATCTTCTTGTCGATGGTCGACGGCCTCCCGCGCAAATGGCAGTCCTCACTGGACCGGCAATGAGGAGTGCATGTCGTCCACTGCTGCGTCTTGCGTATTTTCTGTCCTTGAAAACACAGGAGTGCCGCTGTTGTATTGTGAGGAGCGTGGGGGTGGGCAGCTTCATTTCATTTTCCGGTGCTTGACGCGCCTCGTCTCCCACCGCCTGTTCGTTGTCGTTACCTTGGTGCACCCCGAACAGACTTTCTCGTTAGCATCGTCCTGTGCGTGGGGTTGATGGAAATGTGGCTGCGACACACCACCACCGCCTCTGGTACCTTGCGGGAGGAAAGGGATCAGGATAAGCCTGCTACGAAGACCGCATGATGTGGAAACCTCTGTTTGCCACTATGTACTAATCTTGCAATGTAGTAGTAGTTGGTGTGCTCCGGATGCTGTGCTGGAAAGAACAAGACATCGGGGGTGTCCACGGTAGACTATCCAGCCTGTAGTCACTGGTTGTCAGCTTCCACTAAAGCTGATGGTCTGTACCTCAAAACAAACTGATCGTCGTGTTTGTTGTTCTCTCGTATGAGGGTGAGCACTGTTCCGAGCGGGACTAGAGAGAAACGGAAAAGTGGCACACAGTTGTGCGATTGGTCACACCAGAGAGAAACGGAACAGTGGCACGCATTTATGTGATTGGTCACACAACAGGCTGCGTCAGAAGCACCGAGGGTGGACAGAGAGATATGTTAATGTCCGGTTTGACGCCGAACCGCTGGTGCTTGTTTCGACGGGTGGTGGCAGCGTTGGCCCGAGCAGCAAATACGTAACCCTAGAGCACCAGGTTACCGGCTGTTTCGGTCCTGCCGCTCGCACAGGGGAACAGGAATCACGGTCGGAGATATCGCTGACGCCGTCGGCGCCACAAAGCGTTTCAAATGTTGTGTATGAGAGAGGAAACT